AAATGTTATTTTATTATAACTGTATGATAAATTGTATATTGATAAATTGTTCCTGTATTTTTATAGGCTTTATTGATAATATGTACGTCACATGCATATTATAATGGAAAAGGTTTCCAGAGCATTTTCTTTCATTTTATCTCTGGTTTTAACCCTGGCCATTATAATATGCTCCTATTAAAACAAAATTTACAAGTTTTTTTTCACCTTGAATTTGTTGAAACCTTTTTTTTTTACACCATGATATATGATATTTATCTTTCGTTTAACTAGCTGAATGTCAAAGCGTAGGGAGCAATAAGTTATAACTGTAAATTTGTACAAAACACACACACACACACACACACACAGTTGTTTAAATTCAGTGCTTTAACTTTAAACTGTCTGTGTGAAAGTGAATTCTACTTTTTCGATGTACATATATGTGGAAAGGCCTGCTGCCTGTCTGTAAAGGCGGATACAGAACCACTGGGCCAGAAAAACTGCAACTTATGTAGAAGCATCCTCAGACATCGTTGATTTTACAGGGGGTTGGGGGGAGTACAGTAATTTTTACATTGAATTGTTTAGGAAAAATTAATAAAAGTCTTCTTATTGATATAGGAAAAATCTTTGACTAGTAGATTCTAAATTATTCAGATCATGGCACCCACAGGTAGTGTGGTGCCAACCGTGCCATATAGGGAATCAAAGTTGTACATTGAAACATACAGGAAAATCTTCACAAGAATCGTGGGACCAGAAAATTTGAAACATGCCTTTTTTTCTCCTGCTTTGCTAAACTAATAATAATTACAATTATCAACCCAACAAATACATTCAACGAACAGCTACACAGAGAGATTGCAAAAGTGTCAAAGCATGGCATACTGGTGGTAATGGATAATGCACAAGTTGGAAAGTCAAATGAAGGATGGAAATAGTCATAAGACAAGAGGACACTGGAACTATAAAAAACAAGAGGCCCAGGGTCACAGCGCTCACCTGAGCACATCGGCTAGGAAAAAGCACATCAGATCAGAACTAAAAGTTTACTAAGGTTGCGGGGAGGGGGGCTTGAATTTTACCCCCCAGGGGATCATGATTTGAACGAACATTATCTGAGGATGATTCAGGTAATTTGAACGAACATTACCTGAGGATGATTCCATATAAATATAACTAATCATGGCTTTGAAGTACCTGAAAAGAACATTTTAAAAGGTTTCCCTATATATTCCTATGTAAAAGTTTGGTCGGCCATTCTGGCCCCACCCTAAGGGGTCATGATTTGAACAAAGTTGAATCTACACTATCTGAGGATAATTTCACATGAGTTTCATCTTTCCTGGCCCATTAGTTCTTGAGAAGAAGATTTTAATTAAAAAAAACGCCATTAATTTTTCTCTAATTCATAATTATCTCCCCTTGGAAAAGGGCATGGCCCTTCATTTGAACAAACTTGAATTCACTTTACCCAAGGATACTTTGTAGCAAGTTTGGTTGAAATTGTCCCAGTGGTTCTTGAGAAGAAGATGAAAATGTGAAATATTACAACAACAACTACGACAACAACAACAACAACAGACAATGGACAAATTTTGATCAGAAAAGCTCACTTGAGCCTTTAGCTCAGGTGAGCTAAAACGACTTGACTAAGCCGAAATGTGCGCTATTAATAACTCAATCAACCGAGGAGCCCTATTCAAGCACCTTGACATAAACATGCAAGCTAACATTGGGTCTCCTATTGGAAGAGATAGGAACCAAACTGACCATGTAATGGTGAATGGCAGATACAGGAAATCTGCATGTGACAGCAATTGTCTGAAGGGGAAAACACAGTCAATGAAAAATAAACCCTCGTGAAAGAAATATACAATGACACAGCAGAAAAAAGAAAGAAGGAAACATAATGACTGGCTTACTGCAGAGACTTAAAAAAGAGCTACAGATAAAAGAAGAAAACTTAAAGAAGAAATGGGTAAATCAAATTCGGAGGGAATAAAGAAAATTAACCTAGAAGAATATAAAACCAAAAATAAAGAAGTGAAAAAAAGAACAAGAGCTGATAAAAGGGAAAAAATCTGGAGGATATAGCTAACCAAGTAGAGAATGCAGCAAATCAAACCGTCTGAGAGAAGTTTACCACCTGATCATGCAGATTTGCGGGGGAAAAACAAAACAAGTATAGCATAAGGTCTAAAAATGGTGAACAAATCATCGAGGACGGAAAAATATTGGAGAGATGAAAAGAGCATTTTGAAGAGATCCTTAATGCCCCCCCCCCCAAAAAAAAATAAAAAAGGTATGGGTTCCTGTTTATCACTATGGTAGACTTGATAATGAGAAATACCAAAAATAAGGAGAGGCATACGTTGGAATTATATGTCCATCTAAAAGACCTTGATTATGCAGACAACTTTGCACTAGTTTCCAGCAAACACAGCAACATGCAAGAAAAGACTGGGAGATGCGTGATATCGGCCTAAAATTAATGTTGACAAGACTAAAAGCATGACAATAAACGGAAAGAAGACTCAGTTCAAATGATAGAGAAATAGAAGAGGTCGAAACATGTACCTGGTTGCCACAATGGACAAGACGTGAGGAACAGAGGCAGACAAATGGAGAACCCTGGCTTAGTCAGGACCGCCTTTGCATCCTTTGCCAAAGTATGGACGTCAGCACAATACAGCACAAACACAAAACTTAAGATCTTCAACACAAATATTCTATCTGTATTGCTGTAATTGATCTGAACTATGAAGAACAAGCGAGAAAGGCGACGAAAAGCTGGATACATTCCATCCAAAATGCCTTTTGAAGATCTTAAATATACACTGGCCTGAAAAGATATCTAACCAACAACTGTATGACAGAACAATCCACACCTCTATCAAATACATGTACAATCAACAGAAGTCCTGAGATGGAGATGGATAGGTCACATCTTACGAAAGGAAGGCAACTGGAACGCAAGGACATCTCTCACATTGACCCCTGAGGGAAAGAGAAGAAGAGGACGAAAAAAAAACTCCTAGCGACGATGTGCTGAGAGAGAAAGGGAAGAACATGTGTTGGAGCAGTTGGAAGGAGGGGCAGGTTGTTGTCAGCGAACGCCGTAAATGGCGTTCTTTATTTAACAACCTCATGCGTCTTCCGGGGCACTGAGAAGATAAGTTAGAAAGTAATCTGATAAAGGAAAAAAAATCAAAATTCACCATTTTATATGTATGTTTTACAGGCAGAAATTCGAAGTCGAAAATTTTGTCAAACATCTGTTTTGCCGACTTTACGAGGGACGTTCAATAAATAATGTCATTAGCTCGATGACATACAACATAGAAACCATATGACATTAAGCTAGATTTTCTCTCATTTTTGAATCTTTAATGAATTGATTACAGTTTATGTAACCACTTTTCATCACATAGTTTAATCGTGAGAAGCTGGGAAACAAGGGCTACTCGAGACACTGCGTTATAAATGAATTGTAAAGAATCAGTAAACTAGAGTGAAAATAAAAGCTTCATTAAAGCTACTGTAAAACGTGTTAAAAATCCCAATGAAATTTTCACTGAAATATGTGACATTTACAGCAACCAATGCGTTTTATAGACAAATGAGCAGGTGGATTTAAATGATAAAAAAAATTATATAATGGGCATCAAAAATGGGTACCGTCCTTGCCAACAAAAATTATAACAAGTTATGTGCTATTTGCCCAATTTCACCAAATAATATCTGATAATGTATGACTGACTTTAAGACACATAGCAAATTTGATATACATCATATCGGGAGTAGTTTACAATGTTTTTAAGAATCGTTTGACGGTAAAAAAAGCTTGGTACTCAAAGATCACCCTATATTTTGAAAAATGAGTGAAAACGACAGCGTGTAGGAATGTCTTAACAATTATTTTAAAATATCAGTAACTGTAGTTATCCAAGTTTGTTTCATATTCAAACAGATAATGGAACATGAATCTATTGTTTAAAACACTCAACACAAAATTTACCATAAGATGTACTTGATAAAAACAGCAATGGTCCGACAAAAGCTAAGGTATGCGAGAACACAAAGACAGATTTATATGCAATTTTCTTTTAAAAATATTAGTGGTACTGTTGTTCATTTTCGTATTCGGGGAGACAGTTTAATTTTTGGAGGAGTCTAGAAAGCATTCTTTTTGCAGAAAAATCGAAAGGTTTATTAGAGGAAAAACCTAGAATCAGGTAACCACTACATTAAATTTCTTCATGACAGCGTCCAAACCCTGCAAACTAGAAGAGTAATCAGGTTTTCGGGATAAAAAGAAAGTTAATATTTTTTCACATTAACATTATTCGCTAGATCTCTTGCCTTTTGACTTGTTTCTATTTCCTAACTTGAAAAAACACCTTTCAGAAAGATAAAAACAAGTCCAGGAAATCATTGGATCTGCTTTTTTCCAGTATACTAAGGGTCATACCCAAAAATATGTTCTAAATACAATCAGAAATTAAATAAAAACTTTAACGGACATCTATTTTAATCAAAAGAGATTAATAAGTCAAATCGTGAAGATTAATCATTAAAAAGCGTCTTTTGCTTTTTTCCGAGCCCCGATGACATTATTTATTGAACGTTCCTCGTATTTAATACCCAAGACATGAGCATGCAATGTTGCATGTTATCGTTTCTGTAAAATTCTATTGGTCTGTTTCATCACGGTTGCAGTCAAAATCTAGATACTTCTAAAAATTCCTCATTATCCATGAATTTACATATCATCTTCAAAAGAGCGATTTTTTTTTTACATATGTGTAGTTATTTTTCTATATTTTGAAATCTATATTATACAAACGAAGACTCTATAGAAAAAAATCCTTTTCTTGGCATTTGAAATAAAATTCAACGCAAGGAAAAAATTTCAATATGCTCCGCTAAATTTATTACCAATATGGCCAAAAAATCTTGGTTAAAATGCTGCTAAATAATCAAAACATAATTTTTATCAGTTCAAGTGTATAATTTTAAGGTCCACCAGCAAGGAAGTCCAACTGTATTTCCACTTTCTCTCCAGATGTTTCGTCAATTCCTTCTACAGTAAGTTCTGTATCCCCAAATCTTAGCAGTGCGCTCACTTCTCGATCTAGTCCTTTCTCAATGTTTGGCATGTTTACAGTCAGCACACCAAGATATCTGCAGCTTTTTTCGTCTGTATATTGCGGAATTTTTCCCTTTTCAGCTGTTGAGGCATATACCTTGATATCCATAGCAGACTGCTCGGGATAGAGAGGGACATATGATTTCTTAACTGGGGGCTGGTCAACGCGTATAATGTCGCCTCTTTTAACGTGCAAGCTGAAGACATCTTTGCAGTACAATTTTCCGTGAACAAGTTTTTTCTTGGACTCAGGGTGAATTTTGGTATCAAAAGGTTTGTTTATGGCCACTCCATACGTGTATTTAGCTGCCCTGGCTTGGATAATGCTTGGGTCATGTCCATATAAAACAGCTCCTTTGAGAACAGATAAACCTGCATCGGGTGGTGTTACAATCTTGCATCTTGGGAAACTTTCTTTTATCCCCTTTTGTAACAACTCGCATTCAGAGAAACCACCAACCATTAGAATGAGATCGGTACCCCTGTTACATTCCGAAATCATTATTCTTTCCACTTGTTGTGCTATTTGTAAAGTGACACTATCAAACAATCTCTTGTAAATTGACAGAGGCATTTGCATTTTTTCTCGCCTCCATTTAATATCTTTATTATCTTCAGACTTCTTGGTACTTTCGCTTATAGTTGAGTTGAGATTGTCTTGCACAAATGTTAGTAATGACAACGGCACAGTTACACGCACTGTACTATTTTGGGGTTGTCTTTTCTTTTTTTCAAAAAATCTTGAAAGTTCTATGTAATCACTAGTGTGGTTTAAGCGATAGGCCTCCAAAATTGGCTGACTTACGATGCCTTCAATCACCTTCTCGAATTCTTTGTCAACATAAATTCCGCCCCAGTTGCCGCCCTGGACATGATCAATTTCTTGTAGTTTATTGTCGTCCGTTACTTCCTGGACAGCCATATCTATGGTCCCTCCTAACAATGAAGACCTCATTTATATGAAAATTGTTAAATACCTGTTAGCGGATTTTTTCACTGCAAATGCAATTACAGTATTTAGGCAGATAAGGCAGACAATCAGCTTGATACATATTTACGTACGATTTTACGAGGATCAAATAGATCGAAATAAATAACAAGTATGCAGTCAATGAACCTTTGCGGAAAAAAATTAAATAATTCATTTATTTTTCTTTCTGCATTAAAACTTAATGAGAATTGCAAGAGGTCGAATAAAAATCAACAAGTTTTCCTTGCCTTTTTTGATAAAAATATACAATGTATTAGTATTTAGGCTTAATTTCTTATAAAATCAACTCTCCCTCTTACCCCCGGCATCTACTACAACAAATCTCCTGCCTGGTTGTAGTGCATGCAATGATGCGTCTTGCTCCAGTCTTTCTAGAGGTAGGTACTTGCAGTAAACAGACGCCGCTTCTGGCTCAAGGCAAATTATGAGTCTATTATTAGGTAACCCAGCCTTAAATAATTTAAGAAAACAGATTTTTAGCTAGAGCATATACTAGTAAATTTCATTTGTTGCCTCTTGCATCTCTCTCATTAATTTATTATACCCCTGCTTTCGGGTACCTATCTCTTATCCGCAACTCCTCTTATACCACTGAATGAAATTTAATGAGACTTTCACGGATTCTCTTTTACAAAGTGCCATTGTGCACCTCCTATTTTACTCTACATATTACGGGTCCCAAAGGAAAACATTGACACAGCCATTTTTCTATAATATTGAAGGGTATACCCATCTCTTATCCGCAACTCCTCCTAAAGCACTTTATACTTTCACAATTTTTTTTTCATTACATAATGTCATGCATGTGCACCTCCTATTTAACTTTTTGATCTGGCACTTATTCCGAGTTTTCCAGAGCAAAACATTGCCATTTTAATCAAACATGTACATGTATGATAGGCGATGGTATCATTTGGTGATCTCAGTGCACACAGTTACTCTTGTTTTGCTTACTTTCAAATTCAGTATAAATGTTTTGCAAGTATTTGAGCTTTCATTGTACACTCTAGAATTTGTACCGTGTCACATATGTATTTGCAAATGCTTTACATAAGTTTGAGTCTTTGAGTCACTTGGAAGCACGATTGATATGGTTTTAAAAACCTGAACACTGAACTAAACTGACTGTTCAAAGACTCTCAACTCGATTTTGAATATACCGGTATTACTAGTACTTATATACCTCCTTAGCTGCTTCTCTCATGAACTGTTTAGCAGCGTCATCCCAGATGGCAGGAACGGTCAAAACCCACAAGATTTCCTTATCGAGGTCTATATTATCCTGTAAGCTCTTTTTCTTAAAATTATCAAAAAAGGTCTTCTTCAGGAACTCAATGGAATGGGAGAAAACATGCAAGGCCAACAACTCCTTGTTCCTGATATCTTTTATCTTAGTATCTCTGGTAAGAGCCTGGAAAAAAGATATTCATTGCATAACAAGTGTCAGGAAGATGAAGAATACTTTGTAATACTACTTTTTCGCCTCTGCTAAGCATTCTCTATGAACAATTTCTAAACGATGTAAGTTATTGACAAACATACTAGTACTCTCTGATGCTAAAACGGAACGGGGGTTCCCGTCCCCAAGCACCTGTGGATTTACATTGTATGATTTGTCATTTTTTAAAATTACCTCTAAATTTTTGGGTATTATGAAACTTTATTTTTAGAATAGTTATTTATATATTTTTTATTTTTCTCAAATCTTGTCTTGTATGGCATCCTTAAATTGTAATGCTTATATTTCACTTTTGTTTTCTACGAGGGCTGTTCAATAAATAATGGATCTATTGCTAAAAATCATCAAAACAAAATTTACCATATGATGTACTTGATAAAAACGGCGAAGGTCCGACAAAAGCAAAGAATTGCAAGAGCACAAAGACAGATTTATATGCAATTTTTTTTAAATACAAGTGGTATTGTTGTTCAAATTCGTATTCGGGGAGACAGTTTAATATCTGAAGGAGTCTAGAAAGCAATTTTTTTGCAAAAAAAAAAATCGAAAGGATTACAAGAGGATGGAACCAGAATCAAGAATCTACATTAAATTTCTTCATGACAGCGTCCTAACCCGCATGCCCTGAAGAGTAAAGGGGTTTCAGGGTTAAACAGAAAGTTATTGTTTTTTCACATTAACAATATTTGCCAGATCTTTGACCTTTTGACTTGTTTTCTATTTGACTCTGTTTCTATTTCCAAACTTGAAAAAAAAACACCTTTCGAAATCATTGGATCTGCCATTTTCCAGTATAATAAGGGTCAAATGAGTACTAAAAACAATCAGAAATTGGATGAAAAAAATGTTACAGATATGTGTTTGAATTAAAAGAGATTAATAAGTAAAATCATGAAGACTAAATCATTGAAAAGCGTCTTTTGCTTGTTTCTGAGCACCGAGGACATTATTTATTGAACAGCCCTCGTACATATTCAATTTAGCTATCTGTTAATTCCCTGCATAATGAAATATCTTGAAAAGTAACATACATTCACATAAAAAGTGCAAGATAAAAGCGACAATATCCACGCCAATCGAAAGCGTGTTGACTCATGACCTCTGGTATTGCGAGGATGTGTCGAACGTTGTGAGCAGTAAAACGTCAAAATATTGAATAAAGCATATTCAACCATGTGATCAAATAATGGGGGCGGAAAACACGTTCTCCTATAATATGTCATTGATAACTGTAATCAACCTACCACTGTTCTATCTTCATCATAAAGAGCCATTTTAAATCGTCTGAAATAGTAGTAGCCATTTTTTTCTTCCTCGGGCAGACGACTGTAAATGTCTTCTGCTTCATATCCAAATGCTACGAACTCTTGCCGACTGTCTGGTTCAACATGCTTCAACAAAAGAGTAGTTGGTGTTTTGTCGGACAACAAATCTCCTGCTTGCCATCGGTTGGTGGTGATATTGTCTATAGGGTCCGTGGCGAAGTCCCCTCTCGATGAGAAGGCATAGCCAGAGTAGGTGGTTCCAAAGTCAATGGCGACCACAAACAAGCGATCTTCTGTTGACATCTACAGATGATAGATTTTTAAAGTTTAAACAAAAATATTTAAAAATTTTTATTATGTTGCATTTTTTTTGTTCTAGACTTCATGAGTGGTAATTGCAAAGAAAAGCAATACTAATGATGGATTCCCAATATCCACATTGTTTATTTGACAAAATCAGTTTTAATATTATATTTAATTGAAAATCTTTTGTTTTCTATTTTTTTTCTCGAAACTGCCCCAGTATTTGATGAAGAGGATGACAAGTTTTCCCGGCAAGTCAAAAAACAAAGTGGCAATAAAAAAGCCTGGAAAACATCAGCTATTTTGATTCGGACTACTAAGTATACATGTTACTGTTTTGTCCTTTGAGCAATTACGCATTGTTAACGAAGTGCACGAGGTCAGAGGACAGAACTATATACATGTACATTGTAGTTTATTTGGCCATTCAATTGAAGTTCTGTATTTCATGCAAATTTTTAACTCTTATGTGCTTTTAATCTTTAAAATGCGTATGCGTTATAAGTTAAAACGTACAATTTTACAATGTTCTATTATAATAAGTACAACCTATCAATTTATTATATAACTAACTTGTAATTTGTTATGACAATTGGTAATTTGTTAAACAAATTGATAACTTGCTAGTTGCTATTAAAGAATTTGTAATAATGAAATATGGTGTACGAACATACAAGCAAACATGTACCTCCAAAAACATGAGAAGTGGGGCTAGGTGCCATGGAGGAGAGAGCATGCCCTGCCTACCGGTCACACCCGCCGTGTGCTCTTTGTCATGATTGGGGAAAATAGAACAATCCCTACACATTATTAATTTAATAATAATTATGAAAAACATTAGTCGGCTGCATTTCATTTCCGGAATTTTTGGTAATTATCAACTTTTCATTTCCGACATTTTTTTGTTTTCATTTCCGACATTTTTCAAATACATATGTAGTTAGTATAGTTACAGATTTGATAACCTTCCTTCTGAAAAATTTAAAGAAGTAAATTAAAAATAAATCATTGAAATCTAATTTTGTAAACCTATCAGTTTATACTTGGACATAAGTATGGTGCTGTCAGTGACATATTTAGTGCTCTTGAAAAAATTTTATGCTCATTGAACTCTTTTACCTAGACTTAGTGCTACATGTATGCAAAGATGTATAGGTGTTCTTTTCTTATTAATATTTTCATTGGTATAAATGCTTTTCAAATTCCATATTCTTTTACTTAGAAAACATTGAATTGCCGCACAGGTAAATTCCGGAAATGAAAAGAAAATTATTTCGGAAATGAAATAAAAAATTGATAATTTGATATGATAATTACTAATATGTTTTAACAAATTATTTAATTTAATAATTTGATTTAACAAATTAAATAAGTTGATATATGATTTAACAAATTGAATAAGTTAATATAACAAATTAATAATTTTGACAAATTTGAAGGAGTGTACAGACCAGAAAAGGAGATTGATTTTAAATTTTTAAAATTGTCATAATACGGAAGTCCGATTGTTACAACAATGTTTTTTTTTTATTTTATAACAAATTCATTATTTTAAAGATAAAATTATTTATTTGTACAAATGACTTATTTTTTAAATAACAAATTATATAAATTACTAGTTTGTTAATATAAATAACTAATTTGTTATAATGAAGTAATTTGTTATATTTATGAAAACACGTTTTCTAAGCATTGAAGTAAAGTAATATAATCGCTTTGAAGGGATAAGAAGAGGGGGTTAAGGTACTTTCTTGTATTTGGTATATATAAATAATAATTTCAGGTGGATTCTGATCCAAGTGTGAAAAGAAAGTGAAAATGGTGATGATCTTCGTAAGTTAAATACTGCGCTTTTCTGTTTCAATCTAAGTGAATTCAAACAAAATTTTGCCACGTATGTAGTACTTATACTAAAATTTAATTGATTAAGACCAATTATTGGTTTTCAGGTAAAATCATCAAAACGAAAGTACTTGATAAACAAACACATGTTGTCATTGAGAACTAAATTTTACTAACACGCTGTTACTAGTACTACACTGGATACGAATTTTATTATCCGATAAAATCCGATAACCTACCTGGGCAGTGCTTTCGTTAAAACAATCACTTCATAGTAGATACACTTGGAACTTCAGTGTCATGTGACGCCAAAAAATCTAGTTTCGATTTGAGTGCTTGGCGATTAACTTCCTTCTATATATATATATACCCTCGATATAGTCTTCTTTACTAAGAGAGAAAGATGACAGAGATCTTGTAAACATATTAAGTCAAATAAAATAATATTTTACTCTAAAATTTTCTGTATAAATAACAAACATGCAAAATTAACAAAATTTTAAATTCTTTCTATAATTATATAGTCTAAATCAGAGGTCTCTGATGAGGCTTTAAAAGTCTACTGATTTGGACTTTTATTGTACATAGAGCTTCGGTTTTGACTCAGCGGATGTGTTTTCTAAATGTATCTGCTAAATGTCAGGGATCCTGTGTCAACTCGTTCCCAAACGGCAAAGAAGTGACACAAGACACCCTAACGTTTCGAAGATGTTTAACTGCAAATTTCATTGAAGTACAGGGTACCTGTAAAACGTAAACTGCAAATGGTTCAATAGGTGCTTTCTTCTCAATGATACCAACAAGTCAATGTAAAGTCAAATGCTGAAGAGACCTCTCTGATTATGAGCTCTGAGAACTGTACCACTCACATCTTCATCTGCTTGTAATTTTCTGTAATCAATTTCCTACTTGTTATTTCGCGGCGTTCTGCTTCCTCTAACGTATGTGTCGAACTTGCGCTTACTTGATGTCCTTTTAAAAAGCTAGTTTTAGGTAGAATTGATGCCCTTCTTCTAAGTTAGTTCTAGCGCTCTACTTGATGCTTTTTCTAATAATCATTAATTATTTATGCTCACTTGATTTAATTCACATTAGCTTCTATTTTCATTGATGCTCTTACCAAAGAATTTCTACTCGTTTAACTTATAACCTTCACTCTAAGGTTAATGTTTTAGACCCGTCAGTCAGTCTTTTTGCCCTTCCTTTTTTTTTGGTCAGCGCAACTTCTCCTAAACCACTGTACAGAGTTTTGTCGCTTTGATGCCCTTCCTCTAAGACAATGTGTGTGTAGATTTGCACATCACCATGTAATTCCGAATTCTTTATTTTTCAATTTCCGCCTTTTACATTTAGATTTTGGCCATATCTTGAATATAGAGGTGAGCTGTTTGTCAGCGCAACTCCTCATGTCCCGCTGCACACAATTTCGTCAAACTTTGCAGATATTTAGGACACAATGTGTATAGATGTGCATATTACAAGGAAATTACGATTCCTTTATTTTTTTTCTGGGAATTTCAGCACCTCGACTTTTGGGGGAGCGTGTGAAAATGGTTTGTGAACGTGCTCACTTTTTCTTTCATAGTGCATAAAATTATAAATAACTTTCAAAACAAATTATATTAGGTCTAATAAAGCCAATACACAGTATTTATTTGATAATAATTGATCATAAAGAAATCCAATCTGTTTCAGACGTTTTTCTTAATTATTTTTATGAGAGTGTTATGCATGTTCTATTTTACCCCCCCCTCATATCACGGGAAAATATCTTCAAAAGGTGAATGATTTTAAAAATGCCTGCTTTTTTTTGTATTTGATGAAGTTAAACCATATACTTAATCGTAAATTTTATTTACAACATGTTTTTATACAAGATAATGTTTATTTTTGAAAAAAATACTTGCATTTTTTTTTCAAAACCCCACTGAGCTTTCAACCTTTGATATTTTCCCAAAGACCAAATAAAATGATTCTTCATGTTTCACGTGTGTCCAAGCATCTTTTATTTTTAGCCGTGTGATTTTTTGTTTCAGAGCATTTTTCAATAAAAGTAAAATAGATAATTCTTTCGACATGTGCACATCCTTGTAACGATAGCAGTAGTCAGGTAAATGTTTTTATCACTGCGTTTGACGCGTTTTCTCGACCCGCATGGGTGTTTGATGTACATGTATGTATTCCGTGTTAGTTTATCGCTATATTGCAGCAAATGCATAAAAATAATTTAAACCTTTATAGTTCTATTTTTTGTTGAATTTTTACTTTTCAAACATGTATTTGGTCAGTTTATGGACTTCTAAAAACTTTGTTATCGGAGATGTGTACATGTTTACAGTATCAAGAATTTTTCAAGTGAAAATCGTACAAGGCTATATATAGCAGGTACAGGTGACCAAAAATTTTCAATTAAATATGACGGAATAAGAATATGGTCGGACAAAGGCGTAAGGAATGTAGTAAGTCGTCATTCAAAATGAAAAATGATGGCTTTTTTAGAGTTCATGTCAGCTTTAAAATTGGTTGTATTTGCTGACAAGGTCATGTATCAAAACCTTTTCAAATGCTAACATCCTTGTTTTATCAACTTGTTTGATAGAAGCTTTCTCGTTTTGGAATTTTCATGCGTAAACACGCTTTTGCACATCGAATCAACTGAGAGGCATAAATCCCATGCAGGTATTTTTGGACTTTTTACGTTTTCCTGGCACGTAAAATATTGCAATAAAAAAAAGCCTGGAAAAACGTTAAATATTTCGGACTAAGTAAGAGATGATGCTGGCGATTGAAAAATTGAAACCATCACGTTAATCATAAAGCTTTGTTGTCCAGTAATTCTTCTAGTAAAATAACTGAGTGAAACAGACCTATATTAAGACTGTGAAATTTTTACGTCTTGCTTATAGGGATTTATGAGTGAACATATGCACAGAGTGTACATGCACAATATAGTACTTAATCTGTTGTAAAAACGAATTGAATTGATATAACAAATTATTAATTTGTTGAAACGAATTGTTAATTTGTTGTTCATGATTTCTTAACAAATTATTGATCTGTTATATTAATTTATTCATTTGTTATTACAAATTATTAATTTGAATTGTTGCAAAAAATTATCATTTTGTTATAACAAATTGATAATTTGATATGATAAATTACTAATATGTTTTAACAAATTATTTAATGATTTGATTTAACAAATTAAATAAGTTGATATATGATTTAACAAATTAAATAAGTTAATATAACAAACTGATAATTTTGACAAATTTTATGGAGTGTACAGACCAGAAAAGGAGATTGATTTTAAAATTTTAAAAATTGTCATAATTTTACGGAAGTCCGATTGTTACAACAATGTTTTTTTTTAATTTAATAACAAAATCATTATTTTAAAGATAAAATTATATAAATAACTAGATGAGATCTCGTTGCGAGCAACGAGTAGGTCTTTCCGTCCGATTTTTCGATAAGATATGAGTTTGACAATGAACTTTGTTAAATCATAATGATATCAAGACGTCTCTCCTTTGATTAAATTTTTTTACGTTTATATATTGCATATTTAGAATGGTTGTATAATGTTTAAAAGACAACATGAGCATCTTTTACTCGATACCGCTTATCAAAATATTTCCCTTTTTGGAGACATAATGAATCCAAGAATGAACATTTTGGTCCCTATATGACCCCTTAAATACGAACATATTATCACGATTTTACAATGCATTGATGTAGATTGTTATGATAAACATTTTCGTTTCAGTTATTTATAACAAAAAATTGATAAATAAAGAGTTATAGATGAGAGAATTTTGGCCCCTGATTGCCCTTTATTTGAGGGGTCACACCCCTTTTCTTTATATAAAATGATAGAAAATCTAACTCTGAACAACTTTTATTATCTATCTTTTAACAAAAAATTGATACGTATCAAGATATCAGAGAAAACGTGTTAAATTTTGCGACAATAATACAACACAATTTTTCGGCTCAGGCGAGCTTCAACGCCTTTTGCGCTGGAAAGATATAGACTCAAAAAAGCAATTCAGCAATCCTTCCTCTACCTTCACTGAAAATCTCAAGTCAATATATCTTCATTCGTTTTTCAGTGATTGCCAGGACAAGCCAGCCCTCTAAAAATCAGTAAATCGTCCATATCTCACGTTCGGAAGTGACGACGTACATATAAAAAATATATAAATAAAGGAGATATACCCATTTAAAGTTTCAGCCAATCAGATTGCAACACACGTGCATGCGCGTGATTTCATTAATTTTTTTCTAGAAATTGTAATATCCTAATGCATGACTATGTTTAAAATTTCAAAGTGTTTAGTGCAAAAATAAAAAAGATATTGAGATTTTAGTTTCAGCCAATCAGAGCAAAGTGCACGTGCACGCGCGTGAGTTCGTGCTAATTTGACAGTGTCATTATATTAATACTATCAATATATCCTCATGTAATGAGTTTCAAAGCATTTCATCAAAAAATGTAAAAGTAATAGCTATATTAAGTATATCAGTGAATTCACTCATTTCCCGCGCCTGCACGTGCATGCGTATGCGCGCAAAATGACATTCGTTCAGCACACCTACACAACACACCTATTAATCCTAAAAAGGTTTTAACTTAGTTGGGTTCACAGTTTTGAGAACACTCCCGGACAAAAAAGTACCGGAGAAGAAATAAGAAGAAAAAAGAATAATAATAGTAAGAAACAGAGTAAAAACAATATGTTCCCAAACTCCGTTTGGGGAACATAATAATAATAGGGAAAAAGAAACCGAACGAAAACAATAAGGTCTTCCGTTGGAACGGAAGACCTTAATAATTTCAGGTGGATTCTGATCCAAGTGTGAAAAGAAAGTGAAAATTGTGATGATCTTCTTAAGTTAAATACTGCCCTTTTCTGTTTCAATCTAAGTGAATTCAAACAAAATTTTGCCACATATGTAGTACTTATACTAACATTTAATTGATTAAGACCAATTAATGGTTTTCAGGTAAAATCATCAAAACGAAAGTACTTGATAAACAAACACATGTTGCTATTGAGAACTAAATTTTACTAACACGCTTTTACTAGTACTACACTGGATACGAATTTTATTATCCGATAAAATCCGATAACCTACCTGGGCAGTGCTTTCGTTAAAACAATCACTTCATAGTAGATACACCTGGAACTTCAGTGTCATGTGACGCCAAAAAATCTAGTTTCGATTTGAGTGCTTGGCGATTAACTTCCTTCTATGTATATATATATATATATATATATATATATATATATATATATATATATATATATATATATATATATATATAT